TGCTACTGCCCCCCCCCCCCCCCCCCCCCCCCCCCCCCCCCGCCACCCCGCACTAGAGACAGTACCCCAGCCCTGTGGTGGTGCCAGTCATGGGCATAGCAGAGGCAATGGTCCACACCCATCCCTGGAGACCCTAACCTAGCTCCTGAGTGGCCAAATGACCAGAAGTCCTACCTGAGGGAAGGGCCCAGGAAGGCCAAAGGGTATTTAAGGCCAAACATGAGGCCATCACATGGTCTAGACCCTATGTTCCTCTTGGAAGTTCTGTCTGAACACTTGGAAGCAAGGGGTTGGATGCACTCAACCCCTTAACTGAACTAGCAGTAGTTTGGTACAGGCTCAAAAGGACATAAATGGCCTGAGTTGTAGACAGGCCAAGAGTTAATCTAGTTCCTATCTGTTCTCTGAAAACCTACAAAGGGGCAGAGTGATGCAGTGAGCATCAATGCCTATGTTCTTGGAACACCAATCATGTGATTAACACATGAATAGCAGGTGGTACAAGGAGTCTCATACATACCTTTCATATTTTATGAGATTTGACTGCAAGCCAACCACTTTATTCCATAAATATGACAGCATAAGTGAGCCTTCTTTGAGCTCTCCCTGCTAAGTAGCTGACTGCATGGCAGTGATCTCCCCTTAAGCTGGGATGCCTCTCAAGGTTGCTACTCAAGGTTGAGACCTCTTACCAACTGCAGATCTTGTAATAGAGAGCTCTAAGATTTTACCTTGGTAACTTTGATTCTGTCTTGGTAGTTTTGAATCACTGTTAAATCCTTTGTGCAGTACAGTAATAGAGCAAACTTTGCCATCAAACTTTGTTAAGTCACACTATTATAGCATCATATTTCAATAAAACCACTTTTGCCAATACCTTAGGCTGCAGGTCTTTAAGCAGTCTAAATTGCCCATTAACAACAAATTGGCATATTTGGCTGGATCCTAAATCAGGATTTGTGACAAGCTGACACATGGTAACAGTCCGTTGTCATTGCAAAGGGCAGTCCTAACCCTCATTAGAACCATAGATTTGTTAAGGTTGGAAAAGACCTCGAAGATCATCAAGTCCCTCCCCCATCATTGCACCTTATGCAACTACTTCAAGTGAGAGACAGAAACATTGAGAATTTATTTACAAGCAACTGAAGTAAATAGAATGTGGAAACCTCAAATACAGAAATTACTTTCACTTCCCAAAACACACATGCTAATAAGTTCTCTGATTTATCTCTTTTATGAAAATAAAATTATTCTAGAGCATCCAATATAAAAGGTGTACTTACAAGCATTTTCCAGTGTTTCTAGTGAATATGTCATAGTCTTTAAATAAATAGCTGATATAAACAGATTTTAGATACAAGCTTCAGATTGTTTTTATGTAGTAGAACATAGCAAATCATTGTGCTGCAATTAGAGATGCCACAATGAAAGTAAAAAATAATTGAACTGTGAATTAGCATTGTGAGTTACACGACTGGGTTTAACTGCATGGATCAAATACAAATTAAGTACCTCAAATGTTTCTATTTGTAATGTAACTCCCAGTGTTGCAGTATCAAATGTTTGCTTGAGGGATGTTAGCAGGAAAGAGTTACACAGGGAACAGCAGCAGCGGTAGCAGCTGACCCATGTCTCTGAACAGGTTGAATGGGTCAAACAATAACAAGACACCATTTCTACTAGAATGTGAAGAAATTTAAAACAGTCCAACTATTTGTTAGTTTGGCGTCCATTCAGCAACACAACCAATATGGCAAAAATATCCATCTGTTTGGCTGTATCACTATATGAACGATATTTTAATTGCCTCCGACAGCATGACGTTATTGTGTGATTGTCTTGCAGCTTTAAAAATTACACTGACCAGCAGAAGTCTGTGCATAGCCACAGACAAAATTTAAACAAAACCTCCTTGGAAATACTTGGGCTTTAAACTACTCGAAACAACAGTCACTCCACAGCTGGTAACTTTAAAAACCAACATACACACGTTGAATGTCTTGCAAAAGTTATTGGGCACCATTAATTGGATTCACCCTCTGCTGAGAATTACAACAGAAGAATTAACTCCTTTATTTCAATTGTTAAAAGGGGACTGAGATCTCTCTTCCTTAGGCAATTGACAAGAACTGCCCAAAAGGCTTTAGAGACTGTAAGTGATAAAATCAATAAGTCCTTTGCCACATGTCAAAACCCAGATATGCCTTTGCAGCTGTTCCTGATTTTGCAATTTTTCCAACCCTATGCTCCTATTGGCCAACGTGATGTGCATGAACATCATCTTTGGTTATTAAAATGGATTTTCTTGCCACACACCTTTTCAAAAACTATAACCATTCAACTTGAAATGATTATTTGACTGCTGTCGATGGGGCGACTCTGATGTCAGAGCCTGACAGGATATGATACGGCAGTAGTACATCTCCCTATTACTGCAGCAGAATTAGAGAATCTTTTCAGGGATTCACTGTCATTTCAAATTGCTCTTGCGGACTATAATGGACAGTTTATTCACTCAGTGCCTTGACATGCATTGTTACAATCTTTTAAGGAACTTCCCTTCCAACCGCGTCGCTTACAAAGACACCTATCCCTGATGCAAAAACTGTTTTCACTGATGGATCAGGGAAAACACACAAAGCTGTGACCCTGAGGAAAAATTATACAGGACAGTGGAAACAATAACCTTACAACCTGGATCTACCCAGTTAGTCAAACTAGCAGCCATGGTAGAAACATTTAATCTCTTTCCACAGAAACATATTAACATTGTTTGTGATGCTCTTTATGTTACAGGAATCATCAAGAGAACAGAGCATTCATTCTTGAAGGAAGTTTCTAACAAAGATATTTTTGTATTATTAACCACTTTGTATAACTTTTTACTTCACAGGTCTCATGAATATTACATTCTGCACCTTAGATCACACACCAGTCTGCCTGGCCCTAAAGTGGAAGGTAATGCAATAACAGATGCTCTTGCCATGACAAGTCACTATATCACAAAAGTTAGGGTAGGCAAAACTTTCTCATTATTTCTATCATCAAAATGCCCGAGCATTGGCTAAACAATTTGGCTTGACCTTGCAACAAGCTGAAGATATAGTGAATACTTGTTCACAATGTCAGCAGACTTTTTCCTTACCACAAATGTTAGGTACAAACCCACGAGGATTAAAACCTAATGACATTTAGCAAACAGATGTTACCCACAAATTGAGTTTTGGGATTTTTAAATATATGCATGTTTCCATTGATACTTTTTCAGGTTTCATAGTAGCACCAGCTCACAAAGGTGAGAAATCGAGAGATGCCACCCGACATCGGCTGCATACTTTTACTACTATGGGGGTCCTTCAACAGATAAAAACAGATAATGGACCTGTATATACACCCCGAAAAACACAAGATTTTTTCCACAGTTGGGGGATCCAACATGTTACAGGTATTGCCCATTCTCCAACAGGGCAAGCCATAGTATAAATGGCACATTACACATTGAAAAACATGCTAC